ACCAGCTCACCCACTGGGAAAGTGGAAAACCATTCCTTCTCTGGGTGACACCACCTCTTTGTCTTTATGAGAGGACCCTTAACCAAATGCATTCTATCCATGTGGTGTAGCAAGCTGATGGCTTTCCAAGCAAGATGGGCATGGTTGAAGAAGATTCAACAAGCTGTGCACATCCTCAACCCTTCAGCCTCCTTGCACCCTGAAGTTATACACCTTCTGACCAAGGGAACAAGCATTGTTGTATTTTACTTTCAATTCTGAAGGTCTGCATCTGAATGGATTGAAATTCTCTATCAAGCATGGTGTTAATTAAATAATTTCTATTGCCACAAATGAACCACATCAAAATCAATTAAGGGATGTCCTTCATCCTGCTATAAAAAAGGCAAACCCCCTAAAGCTCACAAAGTTTATGAACTCAAACAGCCAGTGGTGTGCACTGTGCCTATTGAATTTTTTGCATGTGATTAATAGTGTATTGATCCTATGTGACACTTCTGCAAGGCACTTGCAACACATGATAATGTCAGACGGCCAATTTCCATGCTACAATAATGGAGCACTGCCCCTGAGCAGGGAAGATAAACAATAAAGTAGTCATTTAGTGAGGCAAATGTGCAATAAAACATACGAATTCATTATATCAAAGTAGTTTTTTCTTGGAGATAAATAATTTCACCCTCACCTATTTTTTTCTTTCATGCTAATTCTAAATTTAGCCTTAAATTAACTGAGTTTACCAATGCTAATGTTTAGGGCTTTCTCACAATTAAGGAGTACTGTACTTTTTCATTATGCTTTCTAACTAAGTAAAAAACAGATGGATGTGTAAGATTACACATTTTTGGAGAAACAAGTAGAGTCTTCTATACCCAGCAATGGCTTTGATCAGCTGTTGCCATACCTGCCTAGGCCACCCCCACACAAAGCCAGAGTTGTGTTTTTACTGCCTCTATCCATTCATCTTAAACAATAACTGAGGACAGATTTTTATCCCACCTGTGGCAGCTGTACAAACATGTCACACAGCACCTTATTCCTAGAAATCTAGATCCCCACACCACCAGTGGAAGGGAACAATCCTTTCTTCTCCTTTGTTCCTGTGCCCCATCTGCTCAACACCTGATTATTTTTTTTTTCTAGAGTACATTAATGGAAGGAAGAGTTGTGCAACACAGCTCTGTGGGTGGAAAGCAGCCAGCCAACCTGCACCAGGAAAACAGCTATTACATGCACGCGATCCGCAGTGTTAGTCCCATTACAGGGCTATAAAATCTGAGCAGGTTACAAAGCCCTGAGGGCTGGGCCGTGAGCACTAAAACTTAATGGTGAGAGGGAGCTACTTTTGATTTTAGCCTTGACTTCTCCTCCATGCTGGCAGTAAATATCAGCAAAAATACGACTCAGTGACAGAAATTAGCTGTAATCTTTTAAGAAGTGGAGCATCAGCCCTTTGCTGATGAACCAGGCTACTCAGGTGACTGGGGTGCTCTGCCAGGGCACCTCCACTCACAGGCCTTCAGCCACAGAGATTTCCTGAGCACCTTGAGGTTTAATTTACTGTTATTGTTTTCTTTCCTTCAAGCAAAAAACAAGAAGAAAAAAAAAGGGAACAAAAACTTTAGGCGCATGAAGTTTCACACAGGAAATGAAATGGAAACCACTGACACGGCAGCGCAGCAGCACGAGCGGGTCTGCAGGAGACATGCAAAAAGAAGAAGTGGCAAAGCTGATGAACAAGCTCAGGGAGAGCACAACTTTGCAAAACAGATTGGTGAAACATAGACTTTCACACACACAAAAAAGTGAAGCTCTGTAGCCACTATGATATTTATTTGCTCTCCTGCAGCTGGTGCCAGGTGCTGGCTTGCACGGCCGGACAATGGTATGTTTTGTTTAATCCCAGAACAGCCTTGGCTCTGTCTCCAGCTGCAGCCCCGTCCTCTCAATTTCCCTGGCTGCCCAGAGCCACTCACTGTGCTCCTGGAGGCCATTTGAGAAAGGATAGCATTATGTCCTACACGCCTTGCAATGGGCATTATTTGACCAAAATAAAGAAATAAATTTCTGAGCTGCAAATAGATCCTTTGGTACTGAGCACTAAACCACCATGTTTTTAAATACCACGTGATTCAGACTGATTCCCAACCAGAGGTGTATTTTCAGTTCAGTTTTGCCATGGGTCTCTGACATTTGCTTTCACAGACCGAGAGCTGTGCTCATTTTTATGTAAAGAGATATGAAAACCAAACAGTGCCAGAGCAAATACTTCACTTTTCCAAGGAAACTAACACATAAACCACTTCTGCATACCACGGTCTGCAAAGTGCAGAGCACACACCAAGCAGGAACAAAACCCTGGGCTCACACACTACTTGGACAAAAGCCTCACAGAATTCACTCTCGAATTGCAGCCTCCAAAGGGAATTGTATTAGAGCAAAGGCTGACACCAACACAAGACACAAGTATCTGCAGTCCCATCTTCATACCAGGGTCAATCTCACAGCCTACAGGTACTTCTTACTTGTTTTTTGTTGGCTTTTGCAGGTAAGCTTCCCCAAATACAGCATGCGAACAGCCTGAGTATTTTTCTCCATCTCTTCTTATCTTTTCACACAAATGCTAGCTGGTGGTTTCATTGTAGGTTGCTTTTATAGTCCTGGCCTGACTACTATAAACTGAACTTACTCCTGTTACCAGCTAAGGATTTCTCTTAATGCAATTTCATCTTTGTGAACACATTCAAATAGGATACCAATATGGCACATTAACTTTATTACCTAAAGCTGTCTTCATCATGACTACAATTATTTTTTACTACTTGGTTTTCTTATGCAAAAGTTAATAACGGACAGGTGGGAAATTGTTTAAAGTGGAACTGCAAACAATAGGCCCCTGACAAGCAGCTGAGAGAGTGACAAAACCACTTCACATGCAAAGTAATGGTAGAAGGTGAGAGGCTTCCTTTAGTTGACTTGTCTGAATTTTTGGAACTTGTGATAGCTTTACAGAAGGAGAAATCACCTAGGTGATTCAAAGTCAGATGTACTGCTTGAAGTTCCACATTTGGATACTCACTGTCCATGGAATTTGACTTGTAACCTATTGCTTGTGTACTGCACAAAGAGCAGTGGATAAGGCAACTTTAACCCTACTGAGCAACAGTATCTCCCATTGCTATATTCCCTCCACCAGGCACAAAACCCTTTTCACACTTGAAAGAGCAGTACCCTGCACCATTTAGGCAGGATCTGTAAGAGGTATGTGGTTACAGAAAAGGGAGGGCAGCAGTGAAAGCAAGTCTACCCTGTTAAATCTTGACTTTAGAATCCTGTCTTGTATAAAAGGGGACAAGAAATATTCCCATTTCTTTTTCCCACTAAGGGAGTTTTTGAAGGTTTTTTTGCCTTAGAATAGATACATCATTGTCCAAAATCCCCATGGCTGATATGGTGAATCTGAGTGCAATCTTGCTTTCCCTCAGCACAATTAAAATAACATTGTTCTGACAAAGGGCGTTTTTTTGGCTAACATATGGGCTGACCATGAAAATTTGCTGCCCAATGGAGCTGGCAGATGCCCCTGTGCACGTCCCAGCTTTCTGGCAGACAGCTGCAGGGCTGGGAGAGCCCTGAGCTGAGGAGCAGATGCTCTGTGCAGCATTAACTCCCTCACGTGGTTACAGCCACATGAGGAAACCAGCACGTAACGGCCCAGCCAGGGCACTTGGTGGCTCACTAAATCCTAAATACCCCAAAGCTCTCTTCAAGGCTGCTACAGAATGAGATTTGTCACTGAAAAGGAGGAAAAAAAAGGGTGATATTTACTTCTAAATGCTTCCTGATATAATTATGCTTTAAACTTTTCAATTGATAACTTCAGTTGGAACCTACTGAAGATTTGAAGAGAACTCAGGTGAAATCCTGCTACAAATTCCAAATAATTTCAGAGATACCCAAATTTCACCTACTAATCTCATCTGAGGTCACCATTTACATCTTGATATTGTTCCCATGTAAGTAAAACTCTGTCACCTCACCTCACTGACCTTCAGGAGATCTCCCCTGCTCCATGCAGGTATGAATGACAGGGAGTGAGGAGATAATAACATGCACGGCACTATGGCTGAGTCACTACAGGAAATGGGCATTAAACAGAACCATAAAGTAATTCAGGGTAGAAGGCATTTCTGGAGGTCACATTGCCCAGCCTCCAGCTCAAAGAAAGGCCAACATTAAAATCAGACTGGCTTGCTGATGGCCTCATCTGGTCAAGCTCTGGCCAAGTGTGGAGACTGTACAACCCAACTCATCCCACTGCTTCACGCTGCTCAGGATGAACATCTATTCCACATAAACAACCTGAATGTCTCTATTGGACCAAGAAAGAAGATGAGGAGGAAAAGGGAGAGGAAGATTAATACAGAATGACAAGTTGATACCAAATGGAAGGCTCACTCTTCACTCTTCTGGTACTGCACACACACAATACAAGCAGTTGGAAAGCCAAAGATACTGAGGGGGTCTGTGGTGAGTGACAATGGGTGAGCTCCAGGTTAGGTACAGAAAAAGCAACAGTCCCTGGTGGCAGCATATCAGACAATACCCATTTTATTGTCAAACATATTCCTTTAAGAAAACCAAACAAAAAGCTTTATGAGTGCTTCAGTGCATGCCAAGCAATTATTGCTCTCCACAATGTGTCCTGTGACTCACTGTGCCACAATGAACTGGCATATGGTGCTCATTCAGGGTATATAATTCACACATTAGCTCTGAAGAGCTAATAGTTACTTGGACTCTAGTTAATTTTGGGGGTTTCAAATTTCCCCATGGCAGTGCAATAAATGTCATGCTTATTATGGTATTATTATTATTTTTAAGAAGTGTTTTTAGTGGCAGGCAAGTGTCACTAACGCCTCAAATATCTCGTATGCAATGAAAATCAATTCAGACCAACTCTGGCATGCAAAAGCACATAAATAACTGGTAAATACTACCTGTGGTCTTCTGAGTCCAGATTTGACTGATTCCAAGAGCAATCAACTCCTTTTTGGCTGCAAAGGACAGGAGGGCACTCAATACCTTGCAGAAGGCACTCAGTACCTGGCAAAAATCGAGCTTTCTGTGTGCCAGCTCCCCATGAAAGAGCAAACCATGGAGCACGTGTGACAAAAAAGGTTCTCTTCTCCTGCAAGGGAAGGCAATCTCCCAGAGAGACACAGAGCCAGCTCCCTGTAGGGTGTCAAATACTACTCTGGCCTGGAAAGGGGGCACTCTCTCTTATGAAAGGAAACATGAATAGTAACACAGCTTCTCTCTTTGAGTGAGTCTGCCCAAAAGCAGTAGACTAGAAATCTAATTTTCATCATGAAGAAAACATCAGAGAGGCTTAAAAGCAGAGACTGAGTAGTGGCAGAAGAAACTGTGTGCAATTTCAAGAAAATTCTTCTCTTGTAATCAAGATGCCTCAAATGAGCCCAGGCTGACCATGACTTGTGAGGACAATCAGGAAAACATGGCTTCAACAGAGTTCTAATGGAGCTTTCCACCCTACCCAGATGACTTCATGGGGGTAAGAATCCTGTAGAGGTAAGGGCTACTTAACACTTATATACATTTGACAGAAGTACACTGAAGCCAGTGCTATCATTAGCAAAAGTGGATCAGAAAGATGGAAGTGGCTAATTCAGATTTTGTCCACGTAGGGACTCAGAGCTGCAGCAGAAGTGAACGGGGTTGAAGGCCAGCAGGGCTGATTCCTGAAAAAGAGGGCCTGACTTCTGACATAATTTGCACAATAAAGCAATAGCAATGCTACTGGAATCAACAAAACTATGCTGGAATAAATCAGTTGAGAATTATATCCTGAATTTGTATGTCTTTGAGCTAATTTCATAGGTATAAAACAACATTAACATCTCAAATGTGACTTGGAAGGCAAAACATAAACACTTCAGCCTAAAGCTCTACTGCTCTGATCCCCAAGGACACAATTATTCCTTCAGTGGTTTCCTGTATAGACCAAATGCAATTATTACCAATACAAATATTTTTCCCTGTGTTTTTGCTTTACAAAAGATAAATCTGGACTGTGTCATTTCAGGTTTTTTCTTTAGCATTTAACACAACAGTGATGGAAGAATATGGGCATGACTGTACTATGAATGGCTGTGGGGAATAAGGACCTGCTCTGCCTATTTCCTCACCTTGAATCTCCTGAACTCTTTAGTTGAGTGGGAGATAGCTGAAATTGTGCCTGAACCAACACTCCCAGCATTTGACCTGCACTTTTTTGTCACTGCTCCATAGTTCTTTGCTAATGGTCACAACATATTCCCCATCTCCTCATAAATATCTTTATTAAAACATTCGTTGCATCTCACTCAGCTACCTTCCTCTAGGAATGTGTTCAAGAAAAGGCAAAAGTACATAACTATTACTATTACTTTTTCCAATCAAAAGTCATATTCATCTATGCAAAACTGTCAGTCTTCATTTCACCCAAGGAAATAAAACCAGCATTTAGGTAATAATCACCTTCACCTCAATGCAAGGACTCTCCTGCCAGAGAAGGAAATGCTGCCCTTGACCAAATCCCAAACATTCATTCTCTTATTGGCTAATTCATGACAGTGCTAGCTAGATTTTCATTATAGAGCATTATTTGTAGCTGCTGTTTTCATGAAGCAGCTGTAATAAACAAGTGAGACTTATGTTCCTTTTAAAATTGCTTGAAATAATTAGCACTGTTAAATTTAGACTCTGAAAAAATCTGAGTCTACTGATTTTTCTATTTTTTTAATAAACACAGAAGCTACAAAGCAATCTACCACCACCAGTCAGGCCTGGGTCAGAATAGTATGTATGCCATATAGCAGCCAAAATGTGTTTCACAAGAGGAATTAACCTAACTTCTCCAAACAACCTTTTAAAAGTAAATGATGGTTGTGCTGAATGAAATGTTTTAACAACTGCACTGTGTGCTATTTTTCTCCAGCCTAAATGCAGACAGGGCTTTATTTTATTCCTGTTCTGGTCTGTACAGCTACAAATGGGCACCCTGGATGTGAATTACACTGGTGAGATCAATGGAAAGCAGGATCAATACCAAGACCCAGACCCAGACCAGAACTTTGCTGCTGCTTCCTACCTTGATTTAGATGTGCATCTAAAAGCCCTGACCCACGTCAGACATTCAGATACCAAACCCAGAGCTTGTGGTTTGCCCTCATCTCTGCACCATTTACTTTTTCCACTCATTGCTCCTCGACCACAGCTGGCTGTATTGACAGTCCAGACACTTATTTAGAATAAGCAAACACGGTGCCCTCTCCAGCCCAATTTGGCTGTTTCACTGCTGGTGCTGCACTTCAGAGCCTGATCCAACAAACCTGCTTTGTAGCACAGAACAAACATCCTCTAAAAAGCTTTCCACTCATACTTGGGGTTTTTGGGTTGGTTGGTTGGTCAGTTCTGTGACTCACCAGCCTTACAGTATTTTTCGTGGTGCAGGTGCCACCAACTCAGTGGTCCAGGTTTCCTCAGAGCATGGGAAACACAAGATGAAACTCCAGGGGCCAGGACAGAACCTTAACAGAGAACCTTCTACAAGAGAGGTCTAATTCCAGCAGATGTTCAGCTGACTACAGCCCCAGCAGAGGTGAGGAAAAAGTGATCTGCTATGGGAAACACCACATCATGCCATGCATAGAAGAATGTTCTTACTGTATAATGAGGAAAGGGACAAAATGAAGACAAGGAGAAGGCTAAACCTGCCAGTTTTTATGAACATTTTTAACTAGAGGAAGGAAAATCAGGGAAGATATACAAATAAGAATGATGAAGCTGGACTAACATGCAAAAGACAGCTGTAGTAGGTATCAAAATTTTAAAATTTTAAGTACTTTTCTCTACATATGGTAAAACAGTAACAATTTCTATGTAAATGATAAAATCCCAGGGTGTTAAAATAAATAATGGCATACTGTTTCAAAATATTCCTGGATAAAATAAATGGCAAGCAATGGGTTGGGGATTTAGTGCTAGGAAGTATAAAGCCCAACATCCCATGAGAGCAGTAACATTGCCTGAGGAACAGCTAGGAAAGCCATGAATCCAAGAATAACCTAAAGGCGACTGCAGGTAAGATCAGCCAAGTAATAGAGTTTCTCTGTGTGATGCTTCTGAGTGATGCAGAAGGGTCAAAGGCTAAGCTATTTCTGGATGTGGACAAGGGAAGGGGTGATAGGAAATCTAAAGCATAGTGCTATGTCAAAACAGCCACAGTGAACAAATTATGAGTTGTTCAAATCTCCATAGATTAAAAAGGAGATAGAGAAATTAAAGGAAATACAAATAAGGACAACAAAAGTGATCTAAGGAGAGAGTAAGAGAGCTAAAATTAATATTTTCTATAAAAGAGAAGACTCCTGGGCTGAGATCCAGCTATAAATACCTTCCAGGTACTGTGTGTAGAGGAAGGTAATTAATCTAGCTCAAAAGATAGTGAGACAAGAAGCAATTGATTGAATTTAGGAATGGAAAAATTCAGGATATATAATAAGAAAAAGTTGTTTGAAGAGACACATCTACTAAACAGGGAAGATTCCTAAGGTGAGAGCTAAGGCACACTTACTGTATGCAGTCCAGAAGAGATTGTATAAGAATGGGGCTCAGGGAAATTTTGCCATCCCAACTTTCCACTGTCCAAAAAGATCACAACAGTCCAACTTAATGATCTTTTAGTTGTGTTCTTGTATGGGTTATCTTCAAGACTGCTTCCCTATTTAAAAAAGCCCCAAAACAGCACTCAACCTATACATCCAGGTACTGACAATACCTCTACAGCAGAGCTCAGAGCTGGGTGTGAAGCACTCCAAGGTGCATGGCAAACCTCTCTGCCTCTCTTCTGCCTGTGCAGTGGTGTGGACAATGTGAGTCTACTGGGTGCTGGGCATGAGAGAGTCAACAAGAACAAAAATGCTGACCCAGACCTCAGATTATGCTAAATCCCTCAACACTGAGGTGAAAGGCCAAAGTGGGAACTATCTCTTGTGATACTCATGGTCTTCTTCAGCCTTGTGCTAAGACATTCTGCACAGAAGCTTTCAGTGTCACTGCATACATTAGGTACTTTGATTTATGATTAACTGAAAACCAATGCTAGCAGTGTTCAACAACTCTCAGGAGCTCCAAATAGAAAATAAAGAAGAATATAAAATTAAATCCCCAAAACATTTGCAACAGACCTTACCATTTTCAACGACAAACGGGTACACACAAATGTGAGGAATATAAAACCCAAGTACCCTTAATACCCTCCCTTAAACAAATCCCATCCCAACTGCACTCACCAATCGGGACTTCTGTCCCCTCCTCAATGTAGATGGGCAGTGGTGATTCCTCCATAGGATGAGGCACTGATGGAAAGTAATGAATTGTGGTAGTATTTGTCGCAAAGAGACTAAAATAAGATGGTCCCTTTCTTATCATTACAACTACATATGGCTGGTTGCTATCACAAAGAGCCCCTTCTCAAAGTGGTCACGTCCTGTCACAGAGACTGGCCCAAGCCAGGGCCTGAGGGGTTAATCCCCACTGAGCTCTCACTGCCACAGGAGCCACCTCTGAACAGGAGCTGGGAGAGACCTCTGTCCTGGATGCTTCACCATCCTGCCATTTCACTGTAACCTCAATGCTCCCATCCCTGGCGTTTAACTCTCTCTTGGAAACTCCCACCATTGTAGAAGCCAAGGGAAGCCAATGCACAGGCAGGCACAAACAGAGTTATCAGTCAAAGTCATAATATTTCATGCACAGAACCAGAGGAGAGAGGCTCTGGTGCTCAAAGCTTGCCGTCAGCCATCAAAAAGCCACAGCATGTGATGGAAGGCTGCACTGCAAATGGCCTCTGGACCACTGACTTTTCATTACTCATTTTAGAGTGTATGTATTGGACTTAGGAATTTTCTTTGGGATACTGCAATCTATAAGCAAAACTCCCCAGATCTGCACTGTGGGGTTATTCTGCAATTTCCAGACACCCTACAGTCACTGCTGTAGGGTTCACCTCTTTGGGTTCTTCTCTATTTGGGAGCTTCTTCCCTTAATGGGGTTTTTGCTTCACCATTTCCCCTTTATAATCTATGGGAAGCATATGCTTCACAGGATTTTCAAGAGATTTGAATCTTCCATTCTAGAATGAAATAATGAGCTACAAATGTTCATACTCAAAAACCTTCTGTATTTTTTTCTTCTCTGTTACCATGTAAAAATGATGATATACCTTCTCAAAGATACAAATGCTTAACCTAGTCTCAGCTAGGAGGAAAGGAGGATTCTTTAATCTTTGGTGGGGTATCCTTCACTTAGTACTGGAATACTTTAGTTTTGAATTTTTTGGTTTTTTTTAAAGATTGTCTTATCCATAAAACCAGCCAAAGAACACTTGTGGTTTAAAGCTATTAAATAAAGCATCTAACAATGTTTCTGCTAGCAGCACAACCAGAATAAAGAGTGTTTTCAACAGATGCTTGACTAGCAACAGGCATAATAAGAACCCCACATTGGTGTTTTGCAGGATGCCAAGGGCAGCTCCTGCTTTTCCATCAGCCCACCCCTCGCTCACGAGGAAGATGAAGGGAAGCACAGGGGAGAGGAAGAGCAGAACACGGCTGCCTACAGAACTACTGTACAAGCCACAGAAATCATGGTCTACCGGGACGCCTTGCGCAAGCCACTTTTATCTAGAAGCTGAACTAACATTCCAGCTCAACAATAGCAAAAAAAAAACATTTGTTACCACACGGCATTTCGCTACATATTAACCAGCAAGTTGCTACGCAAGCATAGTGCTGCAATTCCGAGATACAAGTTGTTAAAAAAAAAAAAAAATTGATTTATGGGAAATCAGCCTGAGGTGAGTGCTCGTGGGCTTGCCATGCCACTGGACACAGTACATGCTCGGAAGTTATGCGAAGCGGGCCCTGCATTGGGAACAATGCAGTCGTTCTCCTTGCTAAGCTAATTTTGCATAAAGGCAATGAGACTCTTCATCTATGCAGCCCCGTAAAACATTTAATCAGATTTATTTACTAGGAAGAAATACCAGAGCAGAGCTTTCTGTACTACTGAACAGTTTTCAAAGCTGAGATCTGCGAAAACCAGGTTACTAGATGGTGTGGAAAAAAACCTGTTGGGTTTTTATGGCATGCAGCTTTCTCAGTCCCACGAGGAATAGTTTAACAGGCTCCCCCAGACTGAGAGCCAGGCTGGAGCCAAATGCTTCCACAAAACATTAGCAACAGTACCCACCAATGGCTGGTGGCATCTACTCTTGCCTCAATGGGCATCACCAGAGGTTGCAGAGAAGGCCTGTAATATTTACTGGCCATTTGAGGCCAGGTACACACACAGACACCCTCTCTTACCCATACACACACCTGCACACAACAAATGGCTCTATGGGCAGAGCTTGGATTCTGTAGGATCCAAGGCACAAAAGCTGACTCTGTCACAGCATTTGGGGAGCAAGGACTCTGGGGTGCTAAATAAAGCTCTCACTTATGTGTCTCCTCTGCTTTGGGCAAACCATTTTAACATTATCCCTCCAGGATTTACACACCGACTTTATGGGCATGCTGCTTAAAATGTCTGCAAAGTGCTTTGCAACGTTTTCTAAATTCTGTGGTGATACACACAGAAGAACTGCACAGACAGATTTAAGATATCAGTTGCTGAGCATTATTGCTGTATAACTACAGCCTATTTTTGCATGCTCTATACTTGGTTTCTGCAAACAGATGGTAAGTGTTCAGTATTTTAATGTTTTAATGAGTTTTTTAAGCCTTTTTGTAATTTCATAAACAAGCATAAATAACACTTACATGAAGAAGAATCTCTGCTGAATGTATTTTCTTTTCCTGTTTGGAAAAAACAAAAGAGAAAAAGAGAAGGGAAAAAATATTTTAAAGGAAAAAAAATGGGTCCAGCAAAATAAGTCAGACATGTTTCAATGCTATAATGCACTGCATTTTCTGAATTTCATCAGTAAAAACTCCTGTTTGAAGAACACCAAGACTCTGAATGTAGTATCAAAGCCAGAACAGGAGATAATTCCTTGTGTATTTCATCCCATGTAGAACATCACATATAGTTCTATATGACTATATCCCTCTAAATAGCAGGACAATTACACTGCAACAGTAAATTAAAATACAGATGCCATGTGATCTGGATCAAAAAATGAAAAAATAAAAGAAGCTTTAACTACATTCCAGCTCAGCAACAACCCCATGGCTCAGTGTATGGGTTGTTCTCCTACCTACAGACATGGGACTCACACCAACACCATGAAGCAGAGCACTCCTACTGCATTTTGGCACAGCAGGGTGGTTTTTCCATGCCAGTGCTCAAGCACTGACTGCATTCAAGCCCAGGTTGGGCAGCACAGCAGCGAAGGCATCCTTGGAGGCTGTGACAATTCTGAGTGGCACAGAACCACAACAGGAAACCCAGCAACTGCTAAAATGGGGAACCTTCCCCACAGGCCTTAACAGCCACCTCGTGCACCATGGCACTGCCACCCTGCTGCCACCCATGCACCCTTGCTGGCATTGATTCACACTCCCCTTCCAGCAGCTGAGCTGGTGGGTCTGGTGGATGCTCTTGGAACACAGTTTAGGGCTGGCACTAAATGGCTTTTTGCTGGTGTAAATCTGAAACACTGGGAAAAAAGACTGACAGAAATACAGAGGATGCTGTAGGACATCAGCCATGGTTTCAGAGTCATGGACTGGCAACACAGCAGCCCTTCCAACAGCAGGTTTTTGGGGAAAAAAGTCTTTAGACTTAATTCCAGTGAAGAGTGGAATTGTCAATTAATTTCTACTGTATTACTTTGTATCAATATTAGCTACTATGCAAGCAATTTAAAGTTTACATGCCTTGGGATGTAAACAAAGCTCACACAAATCAATTAAATCCATGGTGTAACAACAGCTGAGGATTCAATTAAATAGGCATGTATGGAAGAAATTCAACAAATATTAAATCACTGAATTTTCATCCTCATGCCTTTCTTCTAAGGGTCAAGGATTCAATCCTGCAAGCAGCCCCCCTAAAGTGCCGTTAGAATAAATTTTAGTTCTGTGTATAGAGCTCTTACTGGAGCAGACACGGGATTACTTTTTAAAAAATAACCCTGATCCATTCTGGTCATTAAGTTAGTGGTGAAAAGTCGAAGGCACTAATCCGACAGGGTAATCTATTCAAAGCTTCCCATCTTAAATGAGCTACAATTTATTCATATGACCAATCAAATAAACATTACTTACAAGAGGCTGCAACTACCATGGCTTTCTCATCCATTTTTAAGTGTTGTAATATGGTTAAATTTAAAAGAAACTAATCAGCACAATCTTTTCAGAGTTGTTTGCCAGCATTATTTAAACCCCAGGTAGGGTACCACTGCAGAGACTCACCACTGCAACATCGCCCCACTGCCCGCTAGAATTAAAATATGGGGCATTGGAAAATATAGAAGGGGCAAAATTAAAATAATAGGGGGGTGCTGCTAAGCCTTGATGTGCAGTGATGAAAATCTAGGAATATCACTGTCTGGAAAGTGCCCAGGAGTCTCTTTGGAAACATCCAGCCCATAGGACCTGGCTGGAAGCCACTAAGATACACTAAGAGTATTGATTTAAAAAAACCTCACTGAAATATTAGCAATGATTATCTGTACGACCAGATCCTCACCAAGGCTTTACAAACAAAACTCCACTCAGGCATGGGAGGTTTCCCAAGCACTCTGCAGCAAGAGCAAGCCAAGCTAAAGTGTCTTCCTCGTTTTCCAAGACAATGTGGCACTTTTTTTCTGCCAGCATTTCACACCAACTGAAGTCTCCTGCCATTGCCCCAACACTTCATCTCTGACATGAAAGCTACGGGCAACCCACACAAAAGCTCCACATTTGAAACTACTGATGAAGAGCCGTATGCCAAATTTTGTTTCTGGTTACAGAAAAGGAAATAAACCAAATAAACCAGAAGTCAGCAGCATTTGAAAGATTCCAAATTTCTACCTGCTTCCAGACCAAGATTCCTTAAGCAAACAAACCAAATGCCCCAGGAATTTGATGCAGCACCCCCGAGCACGCATCCACCCTCTCGGGGCCTACAGGTATCAGGGTGCCACCTGCGACCTCCTGCTTTTTGCCGAGTCTGACAGAAAGGAACGCTCAGAGCGCAGGTGGGAGAAGCAGGTTGATAAATGGCAGCAAGAATGGCAGCGGCCCCTCCTGTGCCGGCCGCGGGCCGGGGTCCCGGCAGCCCCGGCAGGGGAAAGGTGTCTGCCGCCCTCCAGTGGGAACACGCACCCGGGCAGAGAGGTGCGAAGGGGAAAGGCAAATAAAGAGAAAAAAGACAAAAAGAGAACATGCAAAGCAGATAAGAGACAGTTGAAGGGGAAACAAGAAGATACTATCTCTGAAAGTGCCAAAAATGACGTTTCTAATGTCAGTTCAACGAGGGCAGCACAGACATCTTCCTTCCACACTCGTGCTTCAGACTCGGCTTGGTCCGGGCGAGGGACACTGTCACTGTCATGCTGCTGGCTGCCTCAGCTGCTCACACATTTTGCTTAAAAAAAAACCCCAATAACCTTCAAGGAAACCTTTCCGTGCCACTTGTGGCAAAGGCAGGCAATGCCAGAGAGCAGTCAGCTCGGCTGAACGCAGACCCAGAGGTAAACACCCGGCTGTCAACAACCATCAGAGCTCTCGCCAAAGCCTCTCCCATCGAAATTCCACAGCAGCAGGTTTTAACGGGCTGATTTACCCTCAAACCTAAAGCCATAAAATCTGAACCGGTAGCAACTGTCACCCGAGCCCTGAGTTACACGGCCGATGACATGTGTCCCCACCAGGACTGCCTCACAGTTTTGCCTGCCCAAAACTCAAAACATTTTCACATGCAAGCAATAAAAAAAATGCAGTTACCAAAATAGCACTATCAACGTAACCAGCTCCTCTCGGCACATTTTCTTAATGCCTTTCCCAATACGGTTAAAAAACATGGGAACTCATCAAAAACCTCCATCTTTACACCTTGGCACAAACTGTGCTGGAATAAGTGTGGGGTTGTATTTCTTAGCATTTATCGGGATGCTCTCCCACTACTTTTTCCTTTATTTTATTTTCATCCATGCTTCCCTTTAAACATAGCCCTTATTAAACAGCAGAAATCAGCTTCTACAATTTCTAAATATCAAGTTTTGCCACTCTTGGAGCTGCCTAAGGACAACACAGCTTGCCTTCAGTGTCATAAATAACACATACTCTGCACATTTCTTTGCCTGGGTGAAATAAATTCTCCCATGCTCTTATATGGAAAGCTTGTGAGTCCTCCCACATACCTCCTGCTATAATACCAGGCAGCAATGGGCATTCATTATCTTAAAGCCAGCGGGTGAATTTTGGATCCAAGTTACCCCCAAACAAACCCAGAATTATCACCCTTTCGCACCACACTAAGCTTGGTAACCTGCCCTGTGTAGTCCCTGTGTTTAATTTCTAAGCCCCATCACTGCTTTGATTTCAGCACATCAAGAACCCACAAAATAAAAGGAAAATGAGGGGAATAAAAAGGAAAATGAGGGAAATCACAAGAAAGCAGCAGCAGCGGTATTACCCACCAGGTAGGCCCATTAGCATCAGATGTAGCATTGCCTGTACCAGTCTCTTCACTCGAGGTTAGCGCACGGCAAACAGAGAAAGCACAGCGGGGAGGGGTGAGAGAAAAAATGGGCAAAAATAGCCGGGGAGAGAAGCGTGCGCCGTCGATGTGCTGGAGGGCCGCCAAGGGGGAATGGCTGAGAATGTTATCGCCAAAAAAAGTTAACGCAAGGTGTGGGGGGGTGTGGGGTAAATAACCGCTGGGGAGGAAAAACACCGCCGAGGTAATGCGAGAGCTGGGGAGGAGGGGGTTTTAAGGAGGAGGATGAATTAATAAATAAATGGAAGGGGGGGAAGGGAAAGCGCTCCCGGGGGCACCCCGAGTCGAGGCGGACAAAGGGAGGACGATGCCGCCGCCACCGGCCCGGCTCG